TGTGCGTGCGTGCGACGGCCGTTGTGCGTGCGTGCGACGGCCGTTGTGCGTGCGTGCGACGGCCGTTGTGCGTGCGTGCGACGGCCTTTGTGCGTGCGTGCGACGGCCGTTGTGCGTGCGTGCGTGCGACGGCCGTTGTGCGTGCGTGCGTGTGACGGCTGTTGTGCGTGCGTGTGACGGCTGTTGTGCGTGCGTGTGACGGCCGCTGTGTGTGCGTGCGTGCGTGTGCCAGGCGCACTACGCACAGGAAGACATGATGGTGCCAAGAATTCTGAGTATCGCTCCGACGTGCCCGCCTAGCTCATCTGCATTGCGCGGCGCCCCTGAAAATTTGGTGCGTCACATATTGCAGGACACAACGCAGTGCAGCAGACCCGGCCGGTGTGACTGCGCTCTTTAATATTGGGGCCTCCGGCACCTTTCTGGGGGGGCCGTTGGGGGGGCGGTCGGTGAATCGCTCCCATGTATGGGCGGATACCTTGTCCTGCACTACTGGCCACCGTGTCCCCCGGCAAAAAACCCCCTTCATCGATCATTTATCTGTCTGCTTCATTCTACCCCCTCTGACGTGTGGCATGGTCGGGGGATCTGATCCACGTTCCGGAGGGTTTCCTCGAGTGACCGGTAGAAGAACGGCACTTTTTATGGGTGTTTTTGGGTCCGGCCGCTGCGCTGCGCGCTCACAGAACAGACGTAACGCATTGTTATCGTAGTTTTCTGGCGGCACTAGGCGGGGCTGAGCTGCAGCTGTGCCGATGTTTGGAGCTTGTTATGCTGGTGAGTCACCGCTGGCAATGACCCGGCTGCCAGTAATATGCAGCCATGGAGGGTCGCTCCGGCTCACCGCCGCGGCTACAAATAGGAAAACATTCATATTACAAAAAAATGGAAGTTCTACGTTGTGTCTCCGGAGCCGGAATTCCCTTATTGTCACTCAGATGATAGCGTGCCACTGTTACCATGGCAACCGGGGACAGCCCATCCTTCCCATACTGTTGCCATGGCAACCGGGGACAGCCCATACTTCCCATACTGTTACCATGGCAACCGGGGGACAGCCCATCCTTCCCATACTGTTACCATGGCAACCGGGGACAGCCCATACTTCCCATACTGTTACCATGGCAACCGGGGGACAGCCCATACTTCCCATACTGTTACCATGGCAACCGGGGACAGCCCATACTTCCCATACTGTTACCATGGCTCTGTCCCTGGTATAGGGTGACCGCGCTCTGTCCCTGGTATAGGGTGACCGCGCTCTGTCCCTGGTATAGTCCTCGGGTTCCTGGCGCCGGCTCGGCCTCGGAGTGTGAGCTGCACAGAGAGTAGATTGTCAGTAAAGTTGTAGAGCGGATTGGAAGTCGGATCTTCAGCCTCCATATCTCACTTCATGGTCATATAGTTTCCCGAGGCGAGCCGGCGCCAGGAACCCGAGGCGAGCCGCTATTTCACCTCTGGGGGCCGCTATTTCACCTCTGGGGGCCGCTACTTTTGCAGCCCGGCCGTTTTCATGGTGGGTACAATGTCCCCCCTCCCCCCCTCCATGTGTCCGTGGTTATGTTTCCTCGGGCCCCCGGTTGCTGGATTGTGTTGGCGCGGCGTCATTCACCTCCTGAGAACATGGCGCTCGCCTTTCATTTCTGGTGTCTTTGATTTTTCTGGTTGTGCCGCTCGGCTGTCCTCTGCGGTGACTCGGCACAGCTTTGCAGGTCATAAAACAGGAGAGAACTTCCCTTCCCCCGGAACAGCGTGTGCAGCTATAAGGAGCACAGCATGACCCTTCCTAATGACCCCGGCCCCGTAAGGGGCCCCGCACGCACAATGGGGACTTTAAATCAATGACTTCCCAGTATGTGTGTGTAAGATTTACAATGGCGCTCAGTCCGGCATGTATTGTGACTTCTTGGCTAGCGCGGTATCCCTCTGCTCCCCCTGACCTGCATGAAGACCCCTTGAAGGACTAGTCACCAGTATGGCCTGTGGTCTGCACTGCCTCAGTGCGGCGGCCATCTTGGTAGAGGCGGAGCTCTGCTTCCTCATGTCGGAGCTGGTGGATGAAGCAGGGAGATCCTCTGGAAAGAAGTGACGCATGAGCGCCGGAGCCGCATGGCTTATTCTGTGGTGGTCAGTGAGTCTGCAACTCCGACATTGCAGGGGGTCTCCGCGCTCTCCCTGGTTTGTAGTGTCACGGTGCAGGATTGGGCATTGGAGTGCTGCACTTCATGAGCCAACGCGTTTCAGGGGCACATACTGATTCCTCAGGGCTTGCGGAGGGAGAACATGTAGCGGGGGTGTGAGGTTGGGGAGCGCTGTGTCCCGTGTAGAGGAAGGGTAAAGCTCCATAGCAGCTGATTGGCCAAATCAGTTATTATTATTGTTGCGTTCCGCTATAAATGCGTGCTGCCGGGTTTGTGGTGTTGGCATGGTATGAGCAGCGTGTGAGGTGTATGATCTCCGGAGGGGTGTCACGGTGCCGTACGGCCTCCAGGGGGCAGCATTCCCTTCAGCTCTCATGCACACCTGTCATTATACTTCACATGACTTTGGGTTGGTTGATGCTGAGATTATTGGCGTCTACATGCGTTTAGCTGCATTCATATCGGGCGACACAGAATGACCCGAGCTTGAGGAAATGCTTCTATGACTGAATGCTGCTTGACGTCTGTGTGTATTCAGTCATAGAAAAGCCTTACTGGAGTCTACAAATGACCTCCAGAGGCACCTGAGCTCAATGTAGCGTGTGCGTGCGTGTGTGTGTGCGTGCGTGTGCGTGCGTGCGTGTGCGTGCGTGTGTGTTTGCGTGCGTGTGTGTGTCCGGCCTAATGGATCCCACATCAGAGACTCGGCACCTGACTGATGATATCAAACTTTATACAGTAGTGTCCATACGCTCGTCTCCCCTCAGCCTGTGAATTGTGCTCCCGTTCCTTAAAGTATTGCTAAAGACTGCTCATCCCCCCCGCCCCCAACTTCACTATTGTGACCGCGCGCGCTGCACATGTGACCCCGGAGCTCCTCTAATCGGCGTCTTGCTTTGTGACCGCGCGCGCTGCACATGTGACCCCGGAGCTCCTCTAATCGGCGTCTTGCTTTGTGACCGCGCGCGCTGCACATGTGACCCCGGAGCGCCTCTAATCGGCTTCTTGCTTTGTGACCGCGCGCGCTGCACATGTGACCCCGGAGCGCCTCTAATCGGCTTCTTGCTTTGTGACCGCGCGCGCTGCACATGTGACCCCGGAGCTCCTCTAATCGGCGTCTTGCTTTGTGACCGCGCAGGTCCGGACTTTGTCGTGTGTGATGAAGGTCACGTGCTGAAAAATGAAGCGTCGGCCATTTCCAAGGCCATGAATTCCATCCGGACGAAGAGACGGATCATCCTGACCGGGACTCCTCTGCAGAATAATCTGGTGGAATGTAAGTAGCCGGATGAAGGGGGACTGGTACATGAGCCCCAAAGTTCCGCTTCCATCGCAGCCTTTCACACGGGTGGTGCAGCCGACTCCCATGGATATCATTCTAGAGCAGTCATTGGCTGGTTTCAGCCGCTCGGTGACGCCGATCTCTTTCTATTATCAGATCACTGCATGGTGAACTTCATCAAGGAGAACCTGCTGGGCTCCATTAAGGAGTTCCGGAACCGCTTCATAAACCCGATCCAGAACGGGCAGTGCGCCGACTCCACCATGGTCGACGTCCGGGTCATGAAGAAACGCGCCCACATCCTCTATGAGATGTTAGCTGGATGTGTGCAGGTGAGAAGGGAGATGTGACGCCGGAAGAATGGCGCTGTGCTGTCTGCCTGATATCAAGACGGCTAGCATTATAAACTACGGAACCCCACCACATGTTAAAGGGGGAGGTGCTCTATAGTCTCATTGTAGCACGACAGTGCTGCTCCTCCAATAGATATACAGTACAATGAGTGAGCGTTGTCACCCTAGAACAGGAAGTATTACTGGCCGGATCTCCGGGTGAAAAGCCTTTCGTGTAATGCAGCCGACATATGTGAGGACCCGCAGTCCGGGATCA